AACATTGAAGATTCCCCCCCTGCGTCATTCCTGGATATGTTGCTGATGACTCTGCCAGTTTTAGGAGAGTCCTCTGATATGGCAGTACCCTTAGCTTTATTCCTATTCAGCCCTTTACCTGGACCATTCACAGAGTTGGGAGAAACATTTTCAATCCCAGCCTTCTTCATGAACAACTTATTACCAGATTTGGGATTAACTCTCCCTTCTCTAGAGATATTTTTTTTTGTTCCAATCTATGGAGTCTTCATCGAATTCTGAGAGTTAGATGCTGCAGCCAGACCCTCTTGGACCTTAATGCCTGAGGGGCTATCAGTTTCCATGGGATTATCCGAATTGCTTAGGACATAAGACTGGTTACCAGGACTCGGAACCTCCATCCCCTGTTTGCTCCCTGCCTCCAAAGGAATGTTAGCCTCCCCACCAGGATTGGTCTCGTCTGGGTTCAGCTTAGTAATCTGACCCAAACCAACCTCAGTCTTTGGGCTAACAGGTTTAGCCTTCAACTTCCTACTTCTTGGTTGCCTTTGGATCACCATCAAACTCCCAAATGCCTCATCCTGCTTAGCCACTTTAGCTGCTGTCTCAACCTTGGGATCCATTACCTTCCCCTGACTTGTGTTCTCAGCCTCAACCGGATTACCATGCACATGGGCAGCTGGACACTGGTCCTTCCTATGACCATATAACCCGCATTTGAAACAGATAAGGTGCAGTCCTTCATAGCCAACTTGCAGCACCCTCTCTCCTATCACGAACTTAGAGAGGAAACTTCTCCTCAAATCCACTTCAACACAGATCCTAGCGAACCTGGCACGCTCTGTGATTTCCTCACCATACTCGTTTTTCCTAAGTGAATTCCTGCCCACCTTTAATGTTCGGCCAAAAATATTCCCAATTCTCCACAGGTGTCTCACCGTGTATAACTCAATAGGCAGCCCTGGAATCCTTATCCACACAGCTATCTTCGTGATGCTGTCATCATAAGGGTCAAAAAAGGGCCTCCACCGTTGAACTACCACATAATGGTCATTGACTATCCAGGGGCCTTCCTCAAGAACATGACGGTAGTCACCATCATCCTGGAACCTCAGCAAAATAAACCCATTATCCAAATCAATAGTCTCAAATGGACTAACCACATTCCATAGCCTCTGAAGTCGAGACATCAGAAATCGAACACCGATACGTTTGCCAAGCATCTTGATTATCAGCGCTTTCCGCCATTTCTCACAATCTTGCTTGTGTTCCTCCATGGAGAAGGTGTACTGTGGGCAAAGAGGATCCTCCGGCTCCTCTTGACCAAGACCCTCCATCAGCTCTGCTTCCTCCTCCTCCTTTTTTTGCTTAGCGATCCAGTCTTCCTCTTCAGTATCTGACTGGCCACCCTTCCCATTAAGCCTCAAAAGCTTATCTCTATAGGAAACAACCCTGGGACAAGACCCCCTCGAAGCCTCCCCCATCTTCTCATCCGGAATCAAGGGATCAGGGGTTGCAGAACCGCAGACATCAGCTCCTTCCTGCATCACTTGATCCGTAGCCGGAGACACCGACTCTGAACCCTTAGGTTTCTTCCCACTCCGAGGAGTACCCTCCACCTCAGATCCCAGCCTTCCTCTCACACTCTTAGATCCATCCTCATCTTTCACCGATTGTTGATCTCCATCTTCGACCTCCATCGCACAACAAAACCTAGAAAAACCCTAGCAGAGGGAAAAAATCGCGCGCGTGGGGCGACGCGTCAGCATTTTGTATTAATTATTATTGTGTTCCTCTTCTATAAATTATTTTTCAAAAAACTACTTTTCACTAAAATTGTTTTTCATTATCGATTTGTTTTTTAAACAACAATAGGGTCCTTGAATTAATCAATCAGTTAATATCAACAATTTCCTCTTCTCCATTTAGTAAACTTAATTGTCTAAACTTTAGAAAAAAAATCTCCTTTCTCAATGTTCATTTCCCTTACTTCTTCATCTGTGTTCTGCCAGATGCTAACGTTATTCTGGCGAAGAAGTCATGATAGATGAAACATTTAAAAACGTAATATGCTGAATGCATGTGCCCCAAAAGAAAAATAAAGATGCTATATGATCTGTTTTAAAAAAACAATACAAAAACAAAACATATCTGGGATTAGAGAAATATATTTTATAAGCGGGCAAGTTTGGTCGGTTGCCACTTCTGTCTACAAGGTTTCGTCTAGTGTTTTGCCACAAATGGAAAACTGCTTGCTGTCACAAACTCATAAGAAAATGATACTCGAAAATCAAAAATTTCTCACCAGTTTTAATACTAAATTACATATAAATTTTTAGTTAACATATTGTAATATTTGATTATAAGTAGGATGCTAATAAGTTATTATTACTTCTTTAATCCAACATTACATATTGTTAATTAAAAATTTATATGTCAATGTTGGATATTGACTCATACTTTTCATTCAAATGATGATTTATATTGACAGATCCAAAGAAAGCCAATCAAGATCGCGAAGACATAGTATTGTTATGAGCCTTAGATTTATTTTATTATTTTTCTCTTTTTTAATAGTTTGGGTTTGACTCCATAAATAACTATTGTTGTTTAGGAATTCTAAACATATTTGTATTCTCCTTATAAACAAAATATTTTGTAACTAGTGCAATTAAAAAAAATATTGAAACATTGTTAGATATAGCCCAAATTAGATGAAGCACGATAAATCTATCTCTTCATTCTTTCTTCTACTCTCTCTTTTCTATTGTGCGATTATGTGTATGATTGTTAGGTAAAAAAAGTGAAATGAAACATCTGGTATATGTCTAGTGCATATTACAGCTTTGATATATGTCTAGTCATTATTTAGTATGACTATCAGACTATGTGAACACACACGATAATCACAGGAATCTACATCGTTGGGTTGTGAACTGTGAATGACAGGCTCTCGTGTTTCACGTACGTACTGCATTTTAAATACCGACTTTTTCATATTTTGGGGTAAGTATGATAATTAAAGTTTCGATTTAAATTTTTTTTTTTTATGATTTTATTATTTTTTTAATCAAAATAATTTCATCAAAATTTTAAACGCTTTTATATTTTTACGATTTTAAAAATCATTGTATATTTTTTATTCTTATTTTTCGCAATTAAATATACAGATATAAATAAAATTTTTGGATCGGTCACTAATACTATGGGACCAACTTAATTATATTCCTTGCTCCATGGAGCATTCAATTGGAGAAGGACCATTGTTCTATATAAAGCCTAGTCAGAGTTTCCCAATTCTTTTTCAATTCATTTGTTCTCATAAAAGTCAAAACCCTTATGGGCTTGCTTCTTTATTTAGGATTGTTCCTTATTTGGTGTACATTTCAAAGCCATATTGCTTCTTGGGCTGTACTGATTTTCTTTACGAGAGGGAACAAATAGACCAGGCTTAATGTTGTGAGATTTTTCTTTTTTGAAGGAAAGCACAAACTACAGTTCATATAAAGGTTGCTGTAATGTAAAAGGATTAAACGATTTGGAGTTGTTGAAGCTGAATAGACTGAAATCTGCTTTTGAAGCTAGGGATGATCAGAGGGAATAACAGAAGTGTGCAGTGCAAGGGGAGGTGGAAGAATTACACAAGAGAGGATGTTTTTGGCCTATTTTGTTAATTATTATTAAACAACATGTAATTTAATAAAAATGGGAAGAGTGCAATATATAATATTAAATTAAGGTGAAATATATTTAATTTATCACCGAGAGTATAAATATTTAAATATTTATTTAAAAAATATCATATTTTTTAAAATTACATATTGTAAGCCTAATATTACATGAGTTTGGTGTTTGTTATTTTAAATGACATAAGTTGTGTCATTTTAAGAGAGAGATAGACAACAAGGAATGAAAATCATGGGAGAAAAAGTGAGTTATTTTTTTTAATTTAAATTTTAAATAAAAAAATATTTTTTTTGTGTGTCTCTCTCTTAAAATGACAATTTTATGTCATTTAAATTGACAAACATTTTTCCCATATTACATATTAGGTAATAAAAGATATAAAATTATATATTGAATAATAAACTTTAGTGACTTGTAAAAAATAACAATTGATCGATTTTCTTTGGACATTGTTCACGTGCCCTTGTCAACGAATGTCAAACGCGCTTGGTTTTAGTTTATAGTAAAACTAGTTTATTATCCAAGCGATGCACGAGAAGCTAGTTTTTAGTGAGGCAAGTTAAATGTAATTTTAAAAATTTAATGTACAAGCAAGAGAAGAAAAAAGGTGTATTACTGGATATTTGAAATAAATATTAATTTTTTATTTTATAAATGAATACAAAAATCAAGGTATTATAATTGGCAAACAAATAATTTTACTTGATCAACAAAAGCCTTATTATAGAAATTAGTGTTTTCTATGAAAAACTACGACTAAATTATTTTCATTAATAGAAAACACATGCAAGTTGTCAAGTACACATGGTTATTATCAGGTTAGTTTTTAGATTAATTTTATCAAAGTTTAAAAGCTTGAACCTGAACTCCAATAAAATCTTAGTGATATAAAACTTGAAAACCTTACCAGCAATGACATTTAAGTTTTCCACGGAAACTCAAAATTAACCATTTGTTAGATAAGTTATAATTATTCAGTAAAATTTCAGTACCCAGTTTTCGCCTTATCTGTTTTTCCACAAGAAAAAAGGTCAAAAAATAAGACAAACGTAGTTGCGTGGGCTCTATGTAATGTACCCAATTTCAATTATAGCATACTACGTGACTCGGTTTAAAAATACATATTATTTGATTAAAGAAAAAACATTGAAATGGACATGAATAATTACTAAAATTCTATATTTCATTATTTCATAGCATGTACATATTTTTCCCCGAACACTCGACTATGATACGAGGAGACAATGAAAGCCATTATTAATCACACAAGATCATTATACAACTTCATTCAAACACTGATTAATCATGCAATATAAACTTTCTATGAAAGATTATTAATTAAAGACCCTGCAGTTTCTTCTAATCTCTCCCCCGTTTCCTTCCAAGACACCAATGTTCCCCGTCTTTACTATAGCTTCAACAAAGCTACTTTCAAAAACCTTAGCATTTCCCGCAAGAAAAGTGACAGGGCCACTCGATTGAGGATTCAAAGCAAGATCCTGATCAATGAAAAGCACCCCTCTCCTCGCAACGATTTCCTTATAGAAATGGTTATCAAACACAAAAGGTGTTCCTTGATCCAAAAACAGAGATGGGTCATGTTGTTGATCATTTTGTTTCCCACATATATGCGAAAGCTGATCACGCAAAGAAGGTTCAATTGGAAGAGAAGTGAGCCTCGTTTGAATGAAATTGCAGTGAGTAGAACCAATGGTATGTGCTCCCAAAAGGGTAATCATTTCAATCAGTGTCATGTTCTTTTCCACGAAAGATTTCAATGCCTCTGGCACTGTAGAATCTGGCGATGGAAGGTTCACTTCAGAAGGATTTGATACCAACCCATCACGCCTACCAGTGAGAACACTGTATCTTGGTCCTCCAGCTAAGGCCACAGCATCTCTTGTTGCAAGTGCTATGATATCAGCACATGAAACCGTTGAAGGACATTCTTCTTCCAAGGCTTCTTTTATTTCATCAATGAGCTCATATCCCCTAACGCTTGTGTTTGCTTGTGCATCTTTCTCTGATTTATTTCCCCGTCTTGAATCTATTAATATTGAGGCATCACAGCCCTGAAAACCAATTTGTTAATAAGAAGGAAAAAGAAATAGTTTTTGTAAGTGGAAACTAATTAAGATGATGCAAATTATGAGAGTATAGTGTGGGTAATGTGGGTCTTACCCTGACAAAACAATCATGGAAGTGCATTCGAAGCAGGGCACCGGAAATGAATTTTTGACTTTTGAAATTATTCTGAACCACTCGACGAACAATATCCTCTGCTGTTGGGCAAGTTGGGGTGTAGAATCCAATCTTGAGCTTAGCAAATACAATGGGAAGGATAAAGAAGAAGGTAAGAATGGTGAACTTCATTTTTGTGTATGACATGGTGTTAATTGGCTTTTACTTTGTTGTAGGAGTGTGTTGGTGTGTCTTAACCATGGAAAGAATATATGTATATATAGAGTGCATGTGTTGATGGAGGCACCGTAAGTGATTCACAAGTTATAGTTGAGGATAGTAAGTTATCTTTTCTATTTTACATAAAGGGGCAAAAAATTCAGGATTAATCTTGGGGAAACATGACACTAAAACATTCATATGTAGTTACGGGGTATTTCTTGTTTGCAATTACTTGTGAAGAAAAACAAAACTCATTCATATTGACACGGTATTTAATTTTGCATTTCGGGCCTCATATTGACACGGTTTTGTATATTGCATTTAACCATCGTGGAATTTTTATACGGTTATGTTTCACAATGAAATTGAACTAGTGAATGCAATAGTGAACTTTGACAACTGAATACCTTATATTAACAAGTCAAACAAGTTTTCAAGCGGGTACATTCGATAGATGAAAGTGGTGTCATGCTTCACATTTCACAATGAAATAAAGTGGTACTGTGGTTGTAAAAAAAGGATCAAGATTAAATTATTTATAGCCATAACTTTTAAGCAAAGAATGTAACTAATTCATGATTTCGGGGAACCTTTTTTGTAGTTCTTTTGATTATTTTTCTCTATAAGTTGTTTTAGATTCATTCTTTTTCCCACATACTTCTAAAGGTTATCAAAATTTAATTGATCCCCAGTGTGACAATGAAGATCAGCCACTGATCATTCACATCCTAAATTAAAGTCGTTCACGGATGTTGCAAACTTGATAAAATTATTTATATTATATGTGAGTTAATTAACTATCAGATAATATTCAACATACTTTAGGTCCAGCTGCATATTAGTCATATACTTGTATTAATTGAAACTCAAGCAATTGGACTTTGGTTCGCAATGCATGTGAATGCTGAGGTTAAATATGGAAGATCCAAGATTAAACGATTATGTCATGTTCATGTACCACTTTCTCTTGGAAATTAAGCAAATATATTTTCCTTTTATATAAAGAAGAAAACGGTTTTCGTATTTATCGTGGCCACTAGTACTATAAAAATGTTTTGTGCAGCACAGACATTAACTTTCTTGCCGAAAGAAGAAACGTACGTAGAATTGTTTGTCACAAAAAGATAGTAGATATGGTGTGGATCATGCGTTTAATTTGATCACAAAAACGATGAAATAAAATAATTTATCTCAATTTTCATATACGTTCCAAATAGATGGATGACTAAAACATTAATTTGAAACGCATCCAATTGAATTAATTAATCTATGATGAACTAGTTTTCTGGGCATTGGTTTTTTTTATTTTATGTATAAAAATATATACGTGAGGACAAAATATGAAACATGGTGAATATCTGTCGTTGATTATTAGTGCAAGGATTATGACACTGGTGAGTGCCACATGCATGCATGCATGCACGTTTTCATTTTTGTACACTTCTTCTCCCCTGAATTAGTTAGTTGTTATTTTGTATGAGGCTGCACCTGGGTATAGGTAGAGTTTTTGTAAGGTTTAAAAAATGCAATGCAACTTGATTTGATAAAACTAGCATAAAATTAACAATTTGAATATAGAAAAATATAAAATGCAATGCAATTATATAGTCACTTGGTCGTCCACCCAAAAGTAGAATACCTCATATATAGTCAAATACATGTATACATACGCAAGGAGGTTCCATAAACAACCTAATTTGCAAAATTTGAATGCTACCCGGAATATCCTCCTGTTGAGAGTTGTTCTAATTGTTTGCTTAGAATAATTAAGGAAATTAACGTAATTTTCAAAAGATAAAAACTAGGCTATGAGCCTAGATCCTTATTAGGACACAAGTACGTACAATATGGTACAACTGTAGGAATACTGGGAAAAATATATATATATGAGAGTACGAGACGGCCTAAACATGTTAACCTGAATTTATAAAAGAAAAGGGGGGGGGGGGGGGGGGGGGGGGGGGGGGGGGGAATTGTATAAATGCTGAGATGCACAATGTTTGTAAGATTTTATTATTAGTTCCCATTAATACATAACAATAGTAGTAGATGATGATCTCATTTTATAAAAAGATACTTGTGATCATAACAAAAATGCATATGTAGTTACATTTTTTATCCTGCCCGTAACACAATATACTATTTTCCCTATAAACATGCGAGTCACGAAAGAAGGGAAGGAATCAGGACTTGGTGGAAGAGAAGCAAAAGAAACAGAGCATGTGGAAGGTAAGGAATGATGCAATTGAGGAGCGAAGCGTAACCTTTTCCTATGTTGCTACTTTAGAAAGAAGCATTTAAATATTAAAGCATTGCCGGTTTTTTTTTTTTTTTAATCTGGACATAGTAGACTCCGAGGCCATTGCATTCTTGATAATGTCAATTTATGAAGCAGTTTTATTATATTTCAATTTTCTTATATTCAGTTTTATAATGTTTAGGCGTGAGTGATCACGTCTATTTTGAAAATAGTTGAGTACAATATATTCGTAAATTAATTTAAAATAATTATATTTTCGTAATTTTTTTAATTAAAATAACAATGTTTTAATTTATTTTTCCCGTTCTCATAATCAAAGGATGTAAGTACACCTTATGATAGTAATCAGTAATCACTATCAATCATATAAAAATTCCAATCAATGATTGCCTTGTGTAATTTAAGACATTTTACATATATATATATATATATATATATATATATATATATATATATATAAATATAAATATAAGTGCATTTCTTTTATTATGTTTTAATTCTTTGGTAGAAGAGATAGATGCATTTTCACATAGCCATTCCTACCTTAGAATCTATTCAATTTAAATGGATGTAAGAAGGACATAAGTTTGTGGCAAACTAACTAACGTACAACAAAATAGAAAATAAAGTTATGCTATAAGCTTCAATACCTACAGTTTTTTCGTATCTCACCCTCATTTCCACCCAGAACTTCGATGCTGCCCATTTTTATCATAGCTTTTGCAAAGCTCTGCAGAAATCCCACGTTGTCCGATGCAAAATTTCTAACAATACCGCTGGTGGAATTATCAAAAGCAAGCTGCTCATCTATTAGCAATATGCCTCTCTTTTCAAGGATTTGATGGTAAAATTCGTTATCAAACACAAACGATGTGTTTTGATCCAAAAATGCAGAGGGTTCTCTTCTCGAAGCTTTAAAACATAGTTTGATCAGCTTAGCTCGCAGAGCAGGATCCATATTAGGGTCAGATTGGTTTCCCACAAGCCTACTAGCGAAGAAACCACAATGAGCAACACCGACCGTGTGTGCACCCAAAAGGGTCACCATATCATTTAATGTTAACCCCTTCTCATTGAAAATTTGCAGAGACACATTTACATGATCATTAGGCTGTGGCATCTTCACATCTTCAAGATTTGAAACAAGCCCATCACGCCTCCCTGTGGGAACTTGATATTCAGGTCCTCCTGCTAAGTCCACAGCATCTCTAGCAGCAAGTTGTATGATATCTGTAAAACTATTTGTGTCTCATGTGTAACGTGTGTCAATCGGTTTAATTAAATAATAAAAGAGGCTTTATGGTAATTGACGTTTCGCATTAATGGTAATTGACGTTTTGACGTTTTGCATTATGGTAACGTTTTGCATTAATGGTAATTGACGTTTTGACGTTTCGCATTATTAGGAAGTTACAGGGAGTTATTTGAAACTCCGTAACTGGTGACATGGTTCAGTTATATAAAGAGAAAAATGGTGAGTCTCTGATGATGATTATCTCTCAGAATTCTCTCCTTCATGGTCTGCCCATAAAAGTTGTATCAGATTCCTGTCATAGACGATACAAGGAAAGCAGAGGGTAAAGACTCTGAGAAACAATCTTCCATCATCAAAGTTCTTCATCAGAGTTCTTCCGCACTAATGGAGAAAGGTACGCTCTTATGTGAAAATCATGAATTCTAAAGATCCTGTATCATGTTCTTGAATGATCATTGTTGAACATGTATTAATGAATTACTGATGAATAGCTTACAGTTGGTATCAGAGCATGTGTTTAAGAATTTGTGTTTTTCCATAAATAATTATGAATGAATTCCTGATTCATGAAGAGTTAGGGTTTTGGATAAAGCATCATGAAAAGAGAGACTGATCGATAAAGCATTTTTTGAAATCAATATCAAATGCTTTTTGTTAACCGTGCATCATGAAAAGAATTTGTACTGGCTAAAGAAATATTCAAAGTTGTTGTCGTAGGTCTCCTTGAACGTTCTCGGTTTTCGTGTTTCTTAATGGATGAAAATTTGCATTCGGTTTTAATGCCATTCGATTTTGATTTGAATTGAGTTTGAAAAGCATTTTCAATTGTTCTGAATGGATTATGTTAACCGTGCATAATGGAGAACAAAGGTACTGTGTGAATTTTATTTTTATTTTTTAACGTAAAATTTTCTCGGTTTTCGTGACAAAGCCATTTATTTGTTTTGATGGCTTTTCAATGTAAACAATTACGCCATTCAATTTTGGGATGCCATACGTCGGTTTTCCAATTCACTGTTTAGAAACTTATATTGATTTGAATGGCTTTTCGGTAAATGTGCATCATTGTTTCATGAATTTGCTTCTCGGTTTCATAAATTATTGGAGAAACTGATATTGATTTGGACTGAAGGTTCCAGTAGCCATTTAATGCCATTTTTTTTCATGCCATTCGATTTAATGGATAAAGCTACTGTATGATTATGTAATATTTACGATTTTAAATTGAATGATTATGTGATGTGGCTGGATTAAATTGAATGTGAAAATTTAATCCTATTATTGTTTATGAAATTTTTTAGTTTTGGAATTAATTATGATAGATTTGTTAGTCACCAAAGTGGCCAAATCTTGAAGAGTTATTTTAATTCCAAATATTATGAATTTTATTTCAATTACTATGACTGTGATGCTATGAATAGTATGATAATTATTCATGTTGTGGTATATTGAAGTTCATTATTATAGGACAGTTAGGGATCAACCCAAAGGTTGATTATTTGTTTTATAAAATGAACATAGATGTTGGTATTGTTGGCATATTTCCTCACATTTGGACATCCAAAGATGACAAATAATTATGATAGGGGTATGCATCATTGCCAAATTATGTGAAATTTATATAGCATCATTATAGTTAATGTTGTATGTTAATGGATCCCCAAAGGCGAACATTAATATGCATTGAAGTTAGTATAGTTGAATCTATGCATTGAAGTTAGTATAGTTGAATCTGTGAAGTATGTCAGTATGTGACATGTATGACTCAAAGCATTAAGTCAGCTCTTCCACAAACTGAAAGTACCATCGAAATGATGAACTTGTGGAAGAGCGCTCCCAAACCGCTGATAAGTCTCTTGCTGGGACACTTATGAGTACACTGACCACCATGAAGTTTGATGGTTCGCGTACTATGCATGAGCATGTTATTGAAATGACAAGCATTGTGGCAAAACTGAAAGCATTGGGAATGGATGTGGATGAGAACTTCCTGGTGCAGTTCGTATTGAACTCATTACCGTCTGAGTATGGTCCTTTCCAAATGAACTATAATACCATGAAAGACAAATGGAATGTGCATGAATTGCACAGTATGTTAGTTCAGGAGGAAACCAGACTTAAGAATCGGGGAGCTCATTCTATCAATTATGTAAAGCATCAAGGAGCTGAAAAGAATAAAGGAAAGAAGCATGAGAAGAAAGGAGGAGGAGGAGGACCCCTTAAAGTGAATAAGGCCTCTTCTTCTAAAATCCACAAAAAGGAAAGTAATGCAAAGATGAGGTGCCATTTCTGTAAAAAGGAAGGGCATTTCAAAAGGGATTGCCTGAAACGTAAGGCTTGGTTCGAAAAGAAAGGTAAGCCTAGTGCTTATGTATGTTATGAATCAAACCTGGCTGAAGTTCCTTATAATACTTGGTGGATTGATTCTGGTTGTACTACTCATGTTTCTAATACAATGCAGGGATTTCTTATGACCCAAACCACAAAGCCAAATGAAAAGTTTGTCCTTATGGGCAATAGAGTGAAAGTTCCGGTGGAAGCTGTTGGGACTTACCGTTTAATTCTCGATAGTGGATTTCATTTGGATTTACGTGAAACTCTTTATGTACCTAGTATATCTAGGAATTTAGTTTCAATTTCCAAACTTGATGTTGCTGGATACTCTTTTAAATTTGGTAGTGGTAGTTTCAGTTTGTACAAGCACAATCATTTGATTGGTAATGGTACTTTATGTGATGGATTATATAAATTATGTCTTGATAATCTTTATGTTGAAACACTTATGACTCTGCATCATAATGTTGGTACTAAATGTACCTTAATTAATGAGTGTTCCGCTTACTTGTGGCACAAACGTTTGGGACATATTTCCAAAGAAAGGATGAAAAGATTGGTAAATAATGAAATCCTTCCGGATTTAGACTTTACTGATTTGAATGTCTGTGTGGATTGTATTAAAGGAAAACAAACAAAACACACAAAGAAAGGAGCCACAAGGAGCACTCAACTTCTTGAAATTATACACACTGATGTATGTGGTCCGTTTGATGTTAATGCCTTCAATAAAGAAAAATATTTTATCACTTTCATTGATGATTATTCACGTTATGGTTATGTCTATTTGTTGCATGATAAGTCTCAAGCTGCAAATGCTTTGGAGATTTATATTAATGAAGTTGAAAGACAATTAGACAGAAAGGTGAAGATTGTCAGGTCTGATAGGGGTGGTGAATATTATGGAAGGTATGATGAAAGTGGACAACATCCGGGCCCATTTGCTAAATTTCTGGAAAAGCGTGGTATTTGTGCTCAATACACAATGCCCGGTACACCGTAACAGAATGGTGTATCAGAAAGGCGTAATAGGACCTTACTGGATATGGTTAGGAGTATGTTAAGTAATTCTTCTTTACCTGTTTCATTGTGGACTTATGCTCTAAAAACTGCCATGTACCTATTGAATAGGGTTCCTAGTAAGTCAGTTCCAAAGACTCCTTTTGAACTTTGGACTGGAAGGAAACCTAGTATAAGACACCTGCATGTTTGGGGTTGTCAGGCAGAGATTAGATATTATAATCCGCAAGAAAAGAAACTAGATGCAAGGACAATCAGTGGTTATTTCATTGGTTATCCAGAAAAATCGAAAGGGTATAGATTTTACTGTCCTTATCATACTACAAGGATTATTGAATCTGGAAATGCAAGGTTCATTGAGAATGGTGAAGTTAGTGGGAGTGAAACACCACGTAAAGTGGATATTCATGAAGTGAGAGTACAAGTTACATTACCTTGTAGCTCTAGTAAAGTTATTGTTCCTTATGCTATTGAACCAATCAATAATAATGAAGGACAAGTTAATGATCCCACTACTTATGAAGAGATCATTGTTGATGAACCGAATGAACCCATAGTAGAAGAACCACAACAAATAGCATTAAGAAGATCTCAAAGAGAAAGGAGACCTGCTATTTCTAATGATTATGTGGTATATCTACAAGAGTCTGAATTTGACATGGGTATTCAGGATGATCCAGTAACGTTTTCACAAGCCATGAATGGAGAAAATGGTGATAAATGGTTAGATGCCATGAAAGATGAGTTGAAATCTATGGAACAGAATAAGGTCTGGGATCTTGTTGAGTTACCAGAAGGGTGCAAGAGAGTTGGTTGTAAATGGGTCTTTAAGACCAAACGTGACCCTCATGGTAACTTGGAACGTTACAAGGCCAGACTAGTTGCAAAGGGATTCACTCAGAAAGATGGCATTGACTATAAAGAAACTTTTTCACCAGTTTCAAAGAAGGATTCGTTAAGAATTATTATGGCATTGGTGGCTCATTATGATCTAGAGTTACACCAAATGGATGTGAAAACCGCCTTTCTAAATGGAGATTTAGATGAAGATGTGTACATGGACCAACCAATGGGGTTCATAGAAAAGGGTAAAGAGCACATGGTGTGCAAACTTAAGAAGTCAATATACGGACTTAAACAAGCTTCACGACAATGGTACCTTAAGTTCAATGATACCGTTGTTTCCTTTGGATTTAAAGAAAACATCGTTGATCGATGTATATATCTGAAGATCAGTGGGAGCAAGTTCATCTTATTGGTTCTGTATGTTGATGATATTTTGCTTGCAACTAACGATCTTGGTCTTTTAACTGAGACTAAGAAGTTTCTCTCTAGTAACTTTGAAATGAAAGATATGGGTGAGGCAGCTTATGTGATAGGAATAGAAATATTCCGTGATAGATCACAAGGACTGTTAGGTTTGTCTCAGAAAGCATATATTAATAAAGTTATAGAGAGATTCAGAATGGAAAACTGCTCATCATCTCCAGTTCCAATTCAGAAAGGAGATAAGTTTAGTCTCTTACAATGTCCTAAAAGTGAATTGGAACGAAAAGAAATGGAAGCAATTCCGTATGCATCATTAGTTGGGAGCTTAATGTATGCTCAGACTTGTACGAGACCAGATATTAGCTTTGCAGTTGGGATGTTGGGTAGATACCAAAGTAATCCCGGTATGGATCACTGGAAAGCAGCAAAGAAAGTTCTGAGATATTTGCAAGGAACTAAAGGTCACATGCTTACTTATAGAAGGTCTAGCAACCTTGAAGTTATTGGATACACAGATTCGGATTTTGCAGGATGCGTAGACACAAGAAAATCTACATGTGGTTACCTGTATTTTTTAGCTGAAGGAGCTATATCATGGAAAAGTGCAAAGCAGACTATAATAGTTGCGTCCACTATGGAAGCTGAATTTGTGGCATGCTTTGAAGCCACGATTCAGGCTAAATGGCTACGGAACTTTATTTCAGGGCTTGGATTGGTCGACAATATTGCAAAGCCGCTGAAAATTTATTGTGATAATTCCGCAGCTGTCTTCTTTTCTAAAAACGACAAATATTCCAAAGGTGCTAAACATATGGAATTAAAGTACTTTGCCGTTAAAGAAGAGGTTCAGAAACAAAGAGTGTCTATAGAGCATATTAGCACCGATCTTATGATAGCTGATCCCTTGACGAAGGGATTACCGCCCAAGACATTTACTGGTCATGTATGTAGAATGGGCATTATGTCAGCTAATGAATGATAAAAATTATAGTTATATATTAAAGTATTGACACTCTGAGCTCATTGATGAATATATGTTTCTGATATTGTCTTGTTTTTTCAATTTATGTATGCATGCAAGTATATGTGATGATATTGAAAATATTTGTGGTCCGTTATGAAGACATTATTGTTGGACATAATGTGTACTTCCTATTAAAGTATCATGTTAGGAAGAAGAGTCAATATAGTAGTACATGGAAGGGACTATGCCGACTTGATAGCATACAACCGCCATGACTCATGTTGATTTTATTTCTAATAATGAATTATGATGACGTCAATGTATGGAACCTTTAGCCTAGTAAATGCGCATTATAGTGAATTTTAATTAAATCATGAAGGGACACCTTATGACATGAGCCAAGTGGGAGAATGTAAAACTATTTGTGTCTCATGTGTAACGTGTGTCAATCGGTTTAATTAAATAATAAAAGAGGCTTTATGGTAATTGACGTTTCGCATTAATGGTAATTGACGTTTTGACGTTTTGCATTATGGTAACGTTTTGCATTAATGGTAATTGACGTTTTGACGTTTCGCATTATTAGGAAGTTACAGGGAGTTATTTGAAACTCCGTAACTGGTGACATGGTTCAGTTATATAAAGAGAAAAATGGTGAGTCTCTGATGATGATTATCTCTCAGAATTCTCTCCTTCATGGTCTGCCCATAAAAGTTGTATCAGATTCCTGTCATAGACGATACAAGGAAAGCAGAGGGTAAAGACTCTGAGAAACAATCTTCCATCATCAAAGTTCTTCCGCACTAATAGAGAAAGGTACGCTCTTATGTGAAACTCATGAATTCTAAAGATCCTCTTTCATGTTCTTGAATGATTACTCATGAACATGTATTACTGATTTACTGATAAAATTACTTACAATATCAGCACATGAAACTGTGGAAGGGCATAAGGCTTCTAAGCTTTCTTTGATCTCATCAATCAAATGAAACCCTCTAAGGAAGATGCTGTCAAACGCATCTTTCTCCGATAGCTTTCCATTCCTGGAATCTATAAGTATTGATGCATCGCATCCCTATAAAAGAATACATATATATGGGTTTTATTAATCTCATATGTGATAAATTTGTGAGTTCCATCACCACCTGAAAAAAAATAAAAAGAAAAGAAAAGAAAAAAGTGACACAATTATGGAAGGGTGTGTAGGAAGAAAAACTTATCTCATGCAGCATGATAATAGTTTTTCCCTACATATATATATAATTAAGATTGAGATAGAATCCGTTTACAAACTTTTTTTGCATGATAAGAGTATGACCGGTCGTACTTAGTGTAGTTTGTAAGAATTTGTAAACAAAAAAGTTTGTAAATATAACGTGCCCCGTTAAGATTTGTTTCGTATTTTTTCCAAATATAAAAAATTATATTTTGTTGTTAGTGATTGTAAATATTAATAAACGAAACATAAGAATAAAGACCACTGGATCCAACAAATATATATTTTACAACTTTATTAACTAATGATGACATAAAATTTGGTCTTCTTACTCTAACAAAACAGTCATGGAACTGCAAGCGAACCAAGGCTGCAGTTATGGACTTGTCGTGATTGAATAGCTTCTCCACCGCTTGCTGAATAATTGTCTCTGCTTTCGGACAGGTTGAACCATAGAAACCAACCAGTAGGTCAGCATAGGCTAAGGGAAGTACATAGAAGAAAGAGAGCATTAGGATGATCGAAGTCTTCATCTTGGTTCCTGCTTTCTTTGATTTTGGACAATGAGCGTGTGGCTCATATATATGCGATGAACACAAGGCTTTCGCTTTTTTAAATTCTTTTGTTTGAACCAGAATAATCTTTCATTGGATTAATTAAATAATTTAGTCGGTATATACCCAAAAACACTATTTATGGTAGAAGAAACTTAAAACATATTAGATACGTGTATAATGCCAAATGTTCGTATGATGCTCTTGTTATCAGCGTAAAGTAATATAGCTAACCGTCGATTGACGAAAATCAACAGTGTTAAGATATGATTGTAAGATATTGTAAAAAAAAAAGTTATAAGTATAACCTTCCTCGTTAAATATTACTTTATAAAATATTAAAATTCACTTGCACCTCAGAAATTGTTTAACAAACCTAGTGTTAGGGGGGAAATAACACAAACCAAATAAATAACGTGGGCCACAAAAAATTCGAACTGCATAAGAGAGAGAGGGGGGGGGGGAAAGATAGAAAGATTGATGCTAAAATACTTGTAACTAGTATAACAATTTCCTATACAAGTAAAAAAACTAGAAAATTTTGAACCAGTCCTTGACAACAAACCTTGCACACAAGAAAAACTAGGTACTTAGGTAGTTTCAGTCACTGCTCCAGTAATCAAAACATTTCAAGCAACAGGGACCCGATATCATTTGCCAGAACAGCAGCCAGCCCGATGTATTCTTCTTCCTCCTTCGGAACGGGGATTGTGACAAGATCAGGTAGGGGAGTTTTGGGACCCTGTTTCCCTTTTGGATACCAATCAAGCATGATCTTGACCTTGATACCGAGAACACCCTAAAAGACACAAGAAAAAAAATTATTAGCATCATCAATCCATAAAACAAAATGAATAAACAGTTTAAAAATTCGAGCGCCAAAACAAAGTCTATCTGGTATCTATGAAGAATAGAAACAAACCAGTCTGAGAAGCCCATGTCTCACTGCAGAGTCAAGGTAATCCTTGACTGGTTGCCCGGCAGATATCATGTATCCATCCTTGAATTTCATGGATTTGGCTCTCTGGGCCTCAATTAGCCACTAAAAATGACCTGCTCAAATCAAATAGCAATTACAACCAAATCATTACAGAAAGCAACATAAAACTAGAAGATCAAAGCTGCTTTTGTAGGACAAACCTCACATCCCTTGGCACCGCTTTCCATAGCAAATCTCAAAACACCATACCAGGCCCTGAAAAAATTAGTTTAATAGTTTACAACGTTACCATAAACACAGAAGAATTTTATTCATGCATATAAAAAAGTTATGAAAAAATTTAAAAGCTTACAACCTTTAAAAACACATCGGTCACGTGTAAAGTATAAAAAAATGTCAAAGACAGGTCTATCATGAGGAACAAGCACATAATTCAACTCAAGGTAAACCTCCATTTAAAAAACAAGAGCATATTATTTATACCATCCTACATGAATATAGTTTAAACTGAAAAATCCTTGATATATTACAATTTGTCAACAAACAATAGAGGAAGAAGCAAAGGGATATAATTTCAGCCTTGCAGCATGCAGTAAATATTGAACACAGGTTACAAGCAAGCAGCCATCATCTTATGGTGGCTCCATATAACATTTTTTTTTTTTTTTTGGTTACAGTGAAGGCCTATGATACTGTGGGGAGGGAGAAGTTAGGCTTAAGTGCAGGAAAAGCGGCATGGCTGGGATTCAATCCTGAGATGTAGTAGCCCCAAAAGGGCCTCAGTGCCCACTCGAGCTGAGGCTCCACATAGCATCTAAAGCTTGACATCACAATAACATCCCAAGAGTAGGCATACACCAACAATATTATGCAAAAAGACTCAGAAGACAAGTGTGATAACAAGAGTATTTGTGGCAGAATGACTCGGAAAAAAAAAAGAAAAAAGAAAAAAGAAAAAAGAAAAGGAAACTCTAGGCATGGAAAAACATCAAAACATCAAACAATAATCAAGTGTAAACAAACAAAAACAAGCAGGCAACACAAAGGTCAACTTCCATGTAAAGGCAGGTTCTCCTTGATATATAGCACAAACTAGTCACAGCAACACGATGGTCAACTGATAACATAAATATAATAAAAATTTTAAGACTATTACAGGTAACACGTGGGGTAGTAGAAAGACCTCTCCTTTCAAATATATCCTTGCATCAAACCGCAGAAAAGCAAAAGAAAAAATGGAATGGTATTGAAGCAAAACAAGCACAAGGAAAAGATAAGAAATAGAACATGTATCCACCCAACATTACTGCATGAATACAACAGAATTTCATGAGTTTTGATGGAATAGAGGACAAAAAATAATCTTGTCATCTTCCGACACAAACTTGGTACAGAAGCACCAATCTGCTTTATAGATGACTAAACGAGATAGAGTCTCCAAGGAAAACAGATTCACATGGCCATAAAATAATACATCCATAAAATACAATCGGTCAGCCCATCTTTTACATACAAAAACCAGTTCATACATAGAACAATTGAAACCTTCTACACTCAACTTTGAGAAGAAATTCCAAATCCATCACATTCCTCCATTTAAAACAGTTAACAGAATGCAATAATGTGATATATCAAACAACAACAAGAATACAACGGAGAAGCCATTATCACACTCACCTTCCAAGCACGCATTAGATTACTAACACAGCAAAACAAAACACGAAACAATCCAAAACTACCATAGTAAATGTAAGAAATAAGATTCATTTTCCAAATCCAAATGACTAATTTAGAGCATATACAATATAACTCCGTACAGCAAGGTGACTCTGTCTGGGCAATAGCACAAAGATTGCTATTGTTAAGTTAACCTTCTCAGCGTATAGCTCCACACTATTCTCAGGAAACTTGAACCTCTTCTGTACTACCGTGGTAAGCTCCCTAATTCTCCTTCCCTTCTCACCTATATTCTACAAACCAAACAAATAAAAATAAAAATAAAAAACAAAACAAGAACATAAACAAATCAAACCATTAAATATCAGCAACATCAGGTTCCACGAAAAAAAAAATGAAAAACTACAAAGTTTGAACAATGGATATAAGCACGCACCAGGTGGCCGTTATGATGATCTCAGTACGCATAGGGATGACCCTAACCTCCACACCCGAGTATCCGTCTTCTGCTAGCTCTCGGGTCAGAACCTCATTCAGCTCAGCGAAGAAAATTCCATCAGCTACGAACTACAGAAACACAAAAATCCTACGCTCGGAAACCTTAAAAAGAAAAATGAGACAAAGATTAAAAAAAAAAAAAAAACAGAGGACAAAAGAAAAATTGTTCCATTCCCGTGTAGCACTGACCTTTCTCTTCTTGCGCATTTGGGTTGCCATTTCGCGATAGATCTGAACACACAAAAATAAAGTTGGTGTGACTGTGACTGTGTCCGCAAACCCTAATTTTAGGAGTAGGGGTTTTAGCAGGGAGAAGAAATGCTTTTACTGGTATAGGCGATAATCAATCTTACAACGAATTTATCAGGGAAAACATAAAATTATTTAGTTATTTATTTATCATCTTATTATGGTTTTTTTTTATTAAAATAATATTGTATATAATAATAATGGGAGAGGTTATAGTTACTACTTTTTTTTCTTACTACTTGTTACTACCAAATCTTAACCGTTGATTTTTCGTCAATCTAATGGTTATAATTTATTAGAATTAATAATTAATTAATAAATATGACCCAATAAATTATAACCGTTAGATTGACGGAAATCAATGATTAAGATTTGATAGTAACAAGTAGTAAGTAAAAAGGGTAGTAACTATAACATTTGTCAATAATAATTAAACTAAAATGTCAAAAATGCCTAGTTATCTTCTTCATTTTCTCGTCATGCTGCCCACTACTAGTGCCATGGAACTTCCTTTATTAAAATTAGTTGTGTCTATTTGGCAAACGAAAAAAAGAAAAGAATCAATCATCATACCATGGGACAAATTTAATTATATTCCTTGCTCCATGGAATGGATCATTCAATTGGAGAAGGACCATAATTCTATAAAACCTAGTTAGAGTTCCCCAATTCTTTTTCAATTCATTTGATCTTCATAAAAGTCAAAACCCTTATGGGGTTGCTTCTCTATGTAGGATTGTTCTTTATTTGGTGTACATTTCAAAGCTATATTGCATATTGGGCCCTCTCATCAATTATCTCTTATCAATTATGGAATAGAAAGTTTGTCAATTCCATCTTGTTGGGTTGTACTGGTTTTTTGTAGGAGAGGGAACAAATAGACCGGGCTTAATGTTGTGAGATTTTTCTTTTTTGAACGAAAGCACAAACTATAATTTATATAGAGGTTGCTGTAAAAGAATTAAACGATTTGCAGTTGTTGATGCCTGAATAGAGTGAATTCTACTTTTGAAGATGGGGATTAGAGGGAATAATAAGAGTGTGCACTGCAAGGGGAGTGGAAGAATTACATAAGAGAGGGTATTTTTGGCCTATTTTGTTAATTATTATTAAGTAATATGTAGTTTTAATAAAAATGAGAAGAGTGCAATATATAATATCAAATTAAGGTGAAATATATTTATTTTATCACCGTCAGTATGGGTGTAAATGGGTCAAGCTAGCCCAGACCGGCTTACATTGAGCCTGGCCTAGCCCGGCCTTTTAGGAAAGTAGAGTAGGCTTAGGCTTATAAGAAAGCTTTTTTTAACAAATAGGCCATATGCCAATTTTGTCAAGCCCGGCTGAAAGCCTTGTAGGCTGACCTATTTAATTTATTAAAATAAAATAATAAAATAATATTTATTTTATGTGGCAAAGTACCAATACCAACCCTAATTTTTATGTGCACCGTCGCTTCTCACTCTCGGCTTTGTCTTTTCTCTTAGAACCCCTGTGCTTGTAGCCGACCATTTCCGACAGCCACCTCTGCTTGGAGACTTTATTTCAGTACTCAATAATTGTATTTTTCTTATTTTCTCCATTTCTTTGACTCTATTCCTCTATGATATACATT